CAGTCACATTCTGAGGTCGTGGGGCCGAGACTTCCACACGTGAATTTGGAAAGGACACCATTTAGCACATAACAAAAACCCACTGTAGAAATGTCTGATTCTGAGACTGAAGCAGGGCAATTGAGACAAGCCTGACATACCTTATGCCAGAAGATAAAGAGGTGCTGTTCCCAGAATGACAGGGAAATGGCAAAGACACAAGATTGGTCCAGCCAGATTCCTGATTTGGGCCATTAAAAAATATATTTATTTTATTTCATTTATTGTTATTATTATTATTATTATTTATGGAGAGGTTTTTGCTATAGGGCATGTGTGCTCGCCAGAGAGACAGAGATAAACAGAGAGATAGAAAGCGAGAAATCATACCCCCCCACACAGGGGCAATGGGCACGCTGCAATTCTTTCTCCTCCATTCTCCTCTCCAGATCTTGGGCACGCTTGCACATGCACCCAGCGTGAGTTTAAGTCACTGGGTCCAGGACTCAAACCACAGTCAACTACATGGGAGTCCAGCGACATAGCCATTATGCCACCTGCCGGTCCCATCATTATTATTTTTTAATTTGACCAGAGAGACAAGGAAAGTGAAAAAGCAAGCTGCCAGGTCCAGAACCACCATTGGCCATGTGGGAGTCCAGCGCCTTATCTACCACGCTACTTGCTGATGTCATTTAGTAGCCACAGAGTCATAAACCAACACCACCACAATTTAGCTTTCTTTTAGGTTTTTGCCATATTGAGCACTAAATGCTATTGTATGCATGGTGAAACCCATCATGTACTTTCAGTGGTACAAAGTGTGTGTGTTTTTAAAAAGAGATCTGTGACTTCACACTGACATAAATAAACGAATAAATATATGGAAAGAAGGTAACTTTTTTTTTCAGTTTCAACATCTAATTTTTTAATTGCAAGAGGGCTTGTGTGCTTGCCAGAGAGTGAAAGAGAGACAGAGACGGAGAGAGAGATAGTATTCTGTCCATGGGGTGTAGTCACCACACAATCCCTTCTCCTCCATTTCTCCATCCTGTTGAGATTTTGAGCACGCAGCTACAAGTGCCCTGTATGTTTTTCTTTCTTTTTTTCTTTTAAGAGAGATCTTTGCTATAAGCATGTGTGCTCGCCAGAGAGACAGAGAGAGAAAAGGCAAGAAATCACCCCCTGGGCGGGTGGGTAAGATCATGCTGCTCTCCCTTGTCTTGCATTCTCCTCTTGGGATTTTAGGCACACACACATCTGATGTGAGTTTCAAGCTGACTAGTCTGAGACTTGAACCACGGTTGGTCATGTGGGAGTTCAGCAACATAACCGTTGCACCATCTTCTGGTCTTACCCTGTATGTTTTTCAAGCCAGAACTTGAGCTGTAGTCAACCATGTGGGATCTGGCTTTCCTTAAGCACTAGGCTATGGGGCCAACCTCTTAACTATTTTTATTTGTGCTTCTAGAATTGGGCAATAGAGTAGACTAGATAGAATAGAATGTTTCCAGGAAACTCTTACAGTAGAATGGCAAAAAATAAATATAACAAGAATGATAGATTTAGTAAAAATCACCCTTTGGCAACCATTCTAATAAAAATTGATTCAGACAAAATAATCGCTAACAGGACATTTATGTAGTTACAAAGTATCTCCGTATGAGATACTAATTAATTATAAACAATTAAATAGTAACTTTTCAATGGACAAAGCTGGCATACATCATCTTAACAAAGTGATCAAAATTGCCATCCCAGTAGAGATAGCACAGCACTTCCCCTGACATCGCACATAGAGGCATGCTCAGCATCCCTCCTGTGGTCCCCCCATCAAAGTGCATAATCCTCCAGCCAGCAGGTGGCATGGTGGTTGAGGCACTGGATGGACTCCCACATGGCTGATCACAGTTCGAGTACCAGATCCAGCGCTTAAAAATCATGTCGGGAGTGTGTGTGTGTGTGTGTGCATGCCCAAAATTTCAAGAGGAGACTGAAGAAGAAGGGATTATGGTGTGGCCAACCCCTTGAGGGATTACTTCTCACTTTGCCTCTCTCTGTTTCTGTCTCTCTCTGATGAGTGCACGCATCCTATGGCAAAAAAGAAAAAAAATCTTTAAAAAAAGTGCATCATCCTTGCATCTAGACACGAGGAACATTTGATAAAACAAAAGCGAGGGACATTCTATGAAGCATCTGGCCTGTACATTTCAAAATATCAATGTCTCAAAATATAATGAATGACAAAGGCACTGTTCTGAATGAAAGGAAACAAGATTACGAGCATTGGAAGCAGTGTGTGATCAGGATCTTGCTAAGAAGGACATTGTTGGTGGAACCAGCAGGTGGCGTGGTGGTTAAAGCGCTGGACATTCTCACGTGGCCGACCATGGTTCAAGTCCTGGATCTGGTGGCTTGCTTTCTCACTTTCTTTCTCTCTGTCTCTCTCTGATTAAAATAAAGTAAGTAAATGAATAAATAAAATTAAAAATAAGTAATTCTTAAAACAAAAAAAGGACATTGTTGGGAATACCAGCAAACTCTGAACCAGGGCTGTAAATTAGATCACAGTTTTGTTTCAGCGTTAATTTCCTGAATTGGATAATTGCATTGTGGCTATAGAACATAGTTTGTTTTTAGGAAATACAGAGGTATTCAGGGATAAAGGGACATCATGTCTACAACTTGTTCTCAGTGACTCAAAGAAACCAGGCAGATGTATAGGCACACAGATATTTTCATAAACTGTATGAGTGTGTAGACAGGTAGAAGATAGAGACAGAGAGAGGAAGCAAATGTAGTAAAAATTTAACATGATTTAACTTGATGAAAGGCACCGAGTAATTCTTTACACTATTCTTGCCACTTTTCTGAAATTATATCTAAAATTTTAAAAAAGATTTTGGATCCTGTAACAAGATCCCACGAATTTGGATGACTTAAAACCATGCAAATGTATCCTCTGTTCTACAGGCTAGAAATCCAAATTCGCAGTGCTGACAGGACCAGGCTGGCTCCCAGGGCTCTCTCCTCTGCCTGCCGCGTACTGGTCATAGCATCCTTGACATTCTTGCCTTCTGTAACTCCACTCTGCCTCTACCTGTACGTGGCCCTCTCTCTGCCTATAAGGGCACCCAGCAGTCCTAGATTTAACTCCTCCCCTCCCATACAACTTCTCCGGCCTGGACTCATCTTAATTGACATCATCTTAACTTCACATCCTGAAAGAGCCCATTTCTAAATAAGGTCACCATCACAGCTTCCAGGGGCTAGTAAAAGTCTAAGGTTAGGGAAAATGGGAGAAGCGTGCCCGGGAATTCTTTGTCCTGTTCTTGCCACTGTCATGACTGTTTGAAATGATTGGGTTGTTGGAAAAATCATGACGTTTTCTACGCAAGAATATGTCAACAGCTTTTTCAACAACTCAACATACCAAGATAAAAAACAATAATCCAATGCGTATTCAAAAACTACCAGTCAGAATGCCTCCAGTGGTGCCATGTGAGGGCCTTGGTTGCAGACCCCCTTCCCCAACTGCCCAGCCCTCCGGCCCTCTCTCCCCACCCCCTCCTTTGCTCCAGCCATGCTGCCCTTCTCCGGGTCTTCTGACTCAGGGCTTGCTCCTGCCCCGGGCATTTGCAGCGTAGGTTTTTAGCCAGGACATTCCACCCCAGAACAACGTGTGACTCCTCAAGTCTCTGCTCAGACGCCCTCTGTCCAGAGAGGCTCTTCCTGACACCTAGTCTAACACTAGCTCCCCTTTCTGTCTCTCCCCCAGGCTACTGGCTTTATTGTTCTTCATGGAAGTTCTCATTAGTGGGAAATGAATCGCCAATGCCTGCCCCTCATCCCCAATACAAACACGTCAGAGATGGAGCCTGAGTGTGAGCTGAGCCTGATCTCCGGCCCGGGACAGGTGCAGGCTCCTGGTGGAGGCTGGGCCCTCGCTGCAGAGGAAGCCGAAGCACACGGTGCTTGGGAAAGCACCGCAGGGCATTCACCTCTGTCTAGCCTGAATCACTCACTACAGATTCCTGGAGTATCTCAAGGGTCTGGATTCTCCTTCAAGTCATGGGGGTGGGGGGACTAGGGGTGCGCACCAGTAGGCAGCCTCTTTAAACACAGAGCAAAATGTTTGGAGATATCCCCGTGGTCCCAGAGGCCTGTTCTGGCGCTTTCTGGCCAGAAGCCCAGGAAGTCCTGTTCAGAAGAAAAGCCTGAGGTGGATGCTTCTGTGGCCCCCGGCGTTACTGACTTTTGGCCAAGTGTCCTATGAGTATCAAGCCGGCCCCGTCCAGTGCAGAGGTGACAGAGCCGCAGATCCGAGCCAGGAGAGGAGAGCGCGGTGCATTTTGCAGCCAGAGCTCTTGGACAGCGCCAGGAAACACCGGAGAAACCCAGCCGCGCCGACTTCATTCAAAGCCCGATGGGGGCGCGAACCGTGAGGACGCTGGGCCGGAGGACCGAGCCAGCCTCGGCCCCGACCCCGGCAGTCGGTCTCTGCAGTTCATCAACCAGAAGGAAAATGGCCCTTGATCGCCTCGGGGCGCCTCGGTGGGCTCAAGGTTCAAGGACCCCACCTCCTTCTCCTCCGTCAGTTGACACACACTGGATCAGGATCAATCGATCACCAGGAACTTGCAAGTCCTTTCCTCTCCCGACCGCATGATTTTTTAACTCATCCATAAATATTTCTTAGACTTCCGAAGAGCAAGAAGGTAATGAAGTAGAACAGGGTCGGAATACCGCTTACTGAGCGCTCGCGGGACCCTGAGTGGGCCCGCAGTTCCGGGAGGAGGGGGCACTCCCGGTGGGCTCCGAGGAGG